CTCCACCAGGTGAGGTGCCCTGTCCTCGCCGGCCTCTGCCTTCTGGGGACCGGAGCGACGGCTGTCAGCCCGCGTAGACGCAGGGGGTGTTCTTCCAGGGGCGGGTCCAGCGTTCCCCGGCCGCCATAGTTGGGACCAGGTTCCACCGTCCCCAGCGGCGCTGATCTCCCGCGCCAGCGCCACCGGCCCCCAGCCCTGTCCCTGCCGAGAACCACCCGGCTTTCTGCCCCCCGACCTCTGCAGCCTCTCCCCGTGTCTCCCTGAGGCTGATTCGCAAGCGACTACTCCCACCCCGGCTTGGCCTTTCTGCCCCACCTCCGGGTCGGCCGCAAGGAGGCCGGCGCCAGGCTGAAGGGCCAGCGCAGTGTGCTGCTCGAGGGCAGACTGAGACGGAGCCCCGGGGGCCCGCGGCCACTGCCCCCCAGTAAGGGGGAGGCCTCCCGTGAGGGTCCCACGCCAGAGTCCAAAGCGGCGCCGCCGCCGTGTCCTCGCTGTGAGGCCGGCTCGCTCCCCGCAGCTGGCCCGAGCGTCGCCGGACGGGCGTGGGTGCAGGCTCCGCTCGCGGCCGCCCCAACTCGGCCTTGTCAGGAGCTCTCTGGTCGCCCCAACACGCTTCAGCCTCTGGGCGTCAGGGGCGGTGGGGCCGTCAGGCAGCAGTGAGCTCAGGCTGTTTCAGCCAGCCCCTGGGGAACTGGCCGTGTCAGCCTCACATCTGCCCCTTTCTGTATGTTTAACTTTACCAGGTGAATTTTAAGAGTAAGCGTCATGCTCGCAGCTGAAGGCCAGCACCACCCCAAACTGCGGGGGACGGGCGATGGCGACCTCAGCCCAGTCCATGGGCTAACGTCACCCCACTGCTTGCCGTGAGGACCAAGTTCTGCCGGGAGCAGCCCCCCAGCCCCTGCAGGGCGTCTGCGCGGGCGACTCCCACCTGGAGGCCCTGCCCCGCCGTCATGGGGGTCGGTCCCCAACAGCACGCCAGCGGGTGGGGGCCTCGTGTGGGCAGCGTCCGCCGGCTGCCCGGGGCCTCGGTGCGGGCCGCAGCTGAGACCAACTCTGGTTTGAAGAGTCGGGGAACCTGGGCGGGGGGACGGGACCCGGCGTCCCTCTGGCGCCCGCGCCCCGAGTGGGCAGGGGCTGGGCGGGCGCGGTCCCCACAGAGCCCCCACCGCGCGTGCCTGGGGACACAACAGGGCCCTCGCGCGGCGCCTTTAGCTCTGCTCGGGAGACTCGGCCCCTCGGGGAGGGCGGGAGCGCGGGGGCGGGGCGGGGC